ATTAGTATAACTAAAATACATTATTATTATTATTATTATTATTATTATTATTATTATTATTATTATTATTATTATTAGGGAACTTACACTTATCACCTGAATATACCCCCACCTCTGTAATACCCTACTAGGGTCTTTTTTTTGCACCCTATTTTTAAAGTTGCCGGGTAATTAGCCCCTTACATATGTATAATGGCCTTGTGTGGCGCAGCATATAACGGTTAACAAAAAATAAAAAATTAACCCCTTGAAACATATAGTAACGGCCTTATGTAATGGTTAACGGTTTACTAAAACATTTGCTCCTTTAAACATAAGCATATAACAGTTAACAGTTTTATTAAAAAATTGTAAAGAATTGACCCTTGAAACATGTAATAACGGCCCATGTAATAGTTAAGAGTTTATTAAAACATTTGATAAGAATTTGCTCCTTTAAACATGAGCATATAATGGTTAACGGTTTTATTAAAAAATTAATAGGAATTGGCCTTGTAACATTTTATAACAGCCCATGTGGCGTAGCACATAATGGTTTTTATCTTCCATGTTGCATAGCGCATCTCGATCATTACTACATTAGTAGTAATCATATGATATTAATCTGATTTACAGATCTATCTGAAAGTTTACTTTTTCATCAACTATCGCTATCAGCTAGACGTTTCAACTGATCAACAACGATTAATGCTTTTTTCCTGGCTGTGTCTCAAAAGCATACTGTAAATTCGACTACTGCCTTTCAAAGGTATAATTTTAATCTTGTTCAATTGCTTCATCCGGGAAAGAACGAACGTCCATGTTAAAAGGAATTATTACCTTGTTCTTTCATAATATTTACTTGGATCTACAGAAGCAGTTTTCCAAAGAAAAAGAATTTTGCTTCCTAAAACAATTAGTATTGAAAGTATTTTTAAGAATTTTTTATACAGATTTATACTGTTAATTAAACTATTTATTTTAATTTAGAAGGATGAAAAGAACATTATCTTGGAAGAATATCCGGAACCAAGTATTAGATTCTTAGAAGCAACAATGTTAAATTGTTTCAATAGAAAATTAAGGGTAATAAATAACCTCAATCTAATTCTCAAAAACTAGAGTCAACAGGTAACTATACGGGAAGTTGCTTGTACATAGTAATACAGGACTACGCTGTATGTAATAGAACTTTGTTATGTATGTATTTTATTACAAGTGAATGACCTAGATTGAATATTATATATGGTGGAGCGAAAGACACTCTTTGTATGCATTATATGATGGATATGATGCTTATGTCTTTGGTGCTTCTAAACGATTCTGATGATGAAAACGACAATAGGAGTATAGGTGATATAAGTAATGAAAGTAACAGAAGCGGAGAACTCGTGATTGATAAGTTGATCAATTATAACATTAATAGATTTATATATTAATTCAATTATTTGATCTTATATATTTTATGATATTATTAGGAGCTATTCGTTCAGAGTATAGCTAAAAAAAAAATAAGAAAGAAAATTTTATCCTTCCACTTCGGTATATGCCATCTGAATTAAGTGAATTTTTAAAGTAATCATCTTGGATTATTATCATGTTTTAGTGAGAAGTACTTTATGTTTAAAAGAAGTATTATTTTTTTATTTTACTTAGTGTTGGTACATTCAAATATTTATGTTTCTTTATTTATTAAAAATCATTATTTACGTTTCATTATTCATCTTTTTGCTTTTTTTGGCATTCTCACCTTAATACTATTTTTTCTTGATCAACCCCATTTTTTTGGAGTTGTTTCAGTCATATTTGTTGACTGAGATTTTTTTGGTCACCCTCGCTGTGTAGGATGTTAATTTTTTTTGTGTTTAGAAACCATAGACAGCAAGAAAAAATATTTGTTGCATGTTGGACAGCAGTGCTAAAAATAATTATCTGCACTAATAGATAGACAGTGTTGATCATATCCAGTTAATTTTGTTTTATCATAATATTCGAACATGTGTATGAGATTTAAATAATGCCTATCCTTGCCTTTTATTACAGGAGGAAGGAATCCTCCACTCTCAGCAAGCAGAATGTCAGCCTCATCCAAATGCTTAGAAGAACAACAAAATAAGTCATTATATTTTTTGATATCTAAAGAATATTTACATATTCTTAAATGTTTTTCTATCCAATTCTAGTCGATAGCTTCACCATCAAATTCTGAAAACATAATGTCACTAAATATAAGGATATTTAAAAAATAATAATAATAATTAGTATCCCATTTTTAATTATATAACAAAATATTTGCCATCCTACCTAAATGGATTAATATTTTTATCAACATAGCATGTAACAACTGGTTTTCCGAATATTGGGTCACGACTCCACAAGTCACATAGTACATTTCCTGCATAATGAAAGTTTTTTTCAACAAGCTCTGGATCGATTACTTGACCTTGTGAGTTTAAGTGTGACCCTAATAAACATTTAAATTTATATGAATGATCTACTAAACTATTAATAATCTTATTATTATCAAAATTGGGTTTACCATATTTGTCTACTGGTAAAACTATCCCTGCAAGCTTTTTAGAAAGTGATGCCATGCCACGCTCAACTGGGTTATAAGCAGAATGCCCAGATGCATAAGTTCTAACTGTTAAATAGTCGAGATTGAAGGCCCGAAACATCATACTATATTGTGTTATGTTTTTATGATGTCATGGGTTTTCATCTGGGCCTCCATCAACAAGGAGGATCCAGATGGGTTGGATTTGATCATTTGTTTTAAGGATATCGCTAAACCGGCAGTCTTGGACCAGAGAGTCTAGGTCGCTCATATGAGTTGTTGAGCTTGTACCAACTCCGTATTGGGGGTGCACGAATATAGAAAGTTGCCTATTACGAGGTGCGTCGTTGGTGTCATTTGGGTCCATTAATAGGTAAACAGATGGAATAAGTTTTTGCTGCGCCCCCACCAGGAAGTCGTGATCCAGAATTGATACAGGCTCATCTATACTTTGAATAACTTGGAAATTTTTTCCAACTGCCGGGATTTCAAGAGGGACTTTTGCCTTGTTATCCTGTGAAATAATCACAGAATGATTAGGAAATAAGGTAGCAAGTTGCTTTGCTGCCTTTACAGAGGCAAAGCAGTAATGGATATCCGGATGATCTGTCCTTTCATTTTTTGAACTGATGCAACCTGGGCATTTAAAATTTATTTAAAATATTAATTTTTTTAATATAGTAAATTATATATTTTAATTTAAATAAATTACTAATAACTATTATACTAATTTTTTTGTAAAGATTTGATTCTATACCTGAACATTCGCTGGATGGTGATGTGTTTTTGCTGCTATAGAATTTGAGCGGTGCGGCAACAGGTAGTTACTTAAAGTGGTACGCGAAAGATATTCACCATATTTCGACTCAAGTTCTTCACGTAAGTGGTTGACTGTTCAGACTTTAACAGTTTCTTTTCTTCTTTTTGCATCAGCAGATCCGAATTCGATACATTCGTGAATGTGATCGTGCAAATTTGGATACTGGAATAGGAAAGGGGGGATGCCCAGGCGAATCATATTTTTCGACTACCTGTTGCTCTTTTAAGAGTTGAGCTTTTTTTTCCACACTTTTACGTTGGGCAGCAGCGTGCTGTTTTAGTTTTCTGATCTTTTTGTTTTCAACCTCAAGAGCTTCTTTAAGTTTCTTTATTTTATCCATTAAATTTTGCCGAACCTCAAAATTAATTGTAGTATTATATGCCCGCTGATACTCTAAAATTTCTTTATTTATTGCAATGATAGTTTCTGTAGCTGCCTTTTGTGCTGGGGTGTTAGGTGGAGGTGTATCAGGGATAACTATTTTCTCAATTATTAGGGGATGAATGGTCGGGTAGCAATGGATTATTAAATAGTAAAGACTGAATCAAGGATTTGAACCGTTAGGTCAGTACTGACATTTTGAACGGTAGTGATGGTATTGAGATTTTGAATAGGAGAGGGTGTATTAGTAGTGAGGTACTCTATAATATTTTCAATTACGTCCACAGGCTTATTTCGGATCTCTTTCCATGCTTTATTAGATTCATTACACAATTCTTTTTTTGAATACGACAGATTTCCAGAGCAGACCATACGATTGTACGCAAAAACGTTGCAAAAACTTTGATACGGGTTGGTTGGAGTTTTGTAAATATAGAATTTATCAATTGGAGCGTGCATGTTAGAAAGAACGTGAAGAAAAAAAGGAGAAAAAAAAATAAGAAAAACGAGAAAAAATTTAGATATTATTGGAGTATGACTAAATAAGAGAGAATATAACTGAATAGCTATATCTTATGTGGGTCTAATAATTGCTTGTTGCCAGAATTTTAGTTTATTTATAGTTGATGAAATGATATACTTAATAATTGTTGATACCTTTACTCACAGAGAAGTTTACTAATTATTGCACTATTATGAGGAGATTCTATCCAAGTTCGGGAGGTAATTATATTATTATCTGGTTTTAAGTACAATATATTTTATAATATTTTAATAGGATTTTAATTCTTAAATGTTTAAGGGATTCTTAAGCACTATACAACAATTTAATAGATCAGAGAATATCAGCCGATTTTACATTTCGCGTGTTCGGAGAAATCTCATTTAAATATATTTTTTAAATTTTATGTTTAATATAATTTTTAATTCTTTAATAATTTAATGTAGAGAGGAGTATTTTCGATTTGCCATTCGACGCGTCAGCAAGGGTACTGCCAGGCTTTACCAAAAAAGAAATAGCCAAAATTCTTTTAACCTAGTATGTACGTACATACATACCATAATTCTACACTAATCTCCCTATTATTTAATTTACCCCTCATCATTTAATTTCCTTTTACGTACCTTCATCATTTAATTTCCTTTTATGACCCTCATTATTTAATTTCCTTTTAGGGGCTTGCATTACTAACGTTGGTATCGCCAATGTTTGATTTATACTTCAACTTAACAATGTCAACAATGTCAATAGTGCAGCATTATCATGTATCACAAAACAACTTTGAATTGGAGAGTTGAGGGTTGTTCTGCGATATAATAACAAACTAAAACTACTGTTGCTAAACTGATTTTAAAGCTTTCTCGATGGAATTAATCTGGTTCGAGAATTAGATATAGAACTGGTCACGTGAAAGTCAACCTATAGTGAACACTCTTACTCTAATTTATTTTCTGATTCTTGTTACTATAATTACTAGATTATTGGGGATAGTGTGAAGACGTTTTTAACATTTTCTGTTTCTTTTTTAGTTGTATATTTTGAAACTTAAACTGCATGGTCAGATGCAGCTTTGGATCAAATTATTGCACACTACTATATACCTGATCTGCGTAATTTAGAATATGATGCTAGTAAACCTCATCCAACAATCAAGTAATATCCTTTTTTACTTTTTTTATTTATTTTTTTTTTATCTTTTATTAATTATTTCATTTTGAACCTGGGTAAAAGTTTTACTATAAGCCAACTACAGTAAAACCTCTATAAGTGCACGCTCTTGGGACCAAGCTTTAACAACGTGCACTTAGAAATCAATAAGAGAATGTGCATTTAAAGAGGGCATGTGTATATTTGGGCCAGAACTTGAGCGTGCATTTAGAGAGGGCGTGCACTTATAGAGGGTGCACTTATGGAGGTTTTACTGTAATGACATTGCTTTACTGATATTTTGAACATTGTTTAATCAATCTATTCGATTACATTTTTATAAAATCCAGCCTTAAGCTGAAATTCTTTAATGCAATTATCGATATCCTCATTTTGCTCCCATTCTTATGTTGTTTTTCTAAGTACCGTATTTGCACGTAATAATGGGCTGGGTATTAATTTGAAATTTGCCTTTTCAAAAAATTAGTTACTCAAAATATCGTTCCAAATAACGCGCATCCACTTTTTGCGTAACTTAATTAGCTGAAAGTATCTGAACAGTATTTTGTCTCGAATCGATCATGGGCGTATATTAATTAATTGGTCGGTTGATGCATTGTCGTGATTTTATCATATGATTTCGTTTCGTATGATTTCGTATGATGTAGTATTTGCGATTAGTAATTGTTAGTAGTGTTTAAGGTGAACAGGGTTTTTTCCAGATAAAGTAATTTACGTTTTTCTGCTAATCTGGTTTTCCCTAGCAAACCTAGCATCGCCTACAAAAAAATGCAGCCTACGTCATAAATTTATCACATGATGACGTTCTTCAGTAAAACTGCATGAATTATCTGTCATATAGTTATTCGTAGTACCGATAATAAATTATTTAAAATTTTTTATTAAATAAAAAGTTTTTTTGCAGCACATGCCATACATACTTGCGCTTGTACTTCAATATTGATTTTAGTTAATAAGAATGTAGTATTATTTTTATTAAACCAATTGTTAAAATACTTAATCGCAGCTATTCTTAGTAAAAAAAAAAAGATCACAGATTTAATTATAACGTAGGCTGCATTTTTTTGTGGGCGATGCTAGGTCTGCTGGTTTCCCTACTCTAGCTTAAAAGCTATGATTTGATGACCTGTCGGGAATAGAAGTGCAGACATATTGTTGCAATTAAGAATTCTTGAATTGGAAGTGGCCTGTCAGGACGACAGTCACGAAGGAATTTCTTGTATTTGAGTACATAGTACTGGCCAAGTTCTTGCTTCTGCGGGTTTTTTCCAGACAAATTCTGGTTTTTTTTTCACCTCACTCATCAAGTAGCTGTCTGTTGTTATAACACTTATGGTAACCATTAGCATCATGCATAGGTAGTCTACTCGATACTGTCACGATTGCAAATCGATCGTTGGTATAATAGACTGAATTGGGCGATCGATTGCATATTTGTTTAGGTTTGGCACCTGATAGAATTAGTAGATTTAGGATATTTGGGCCATTATTACATGTTTCAAGGGTCAATTCTTTACAATTTTTTAATAAAACCGTTAACTGTTATATGCTTATGTTTAAAGGAGCAAATGTTTCAGCAAACCGTTAACCGTTATATGAGGCCATTACTACATGTTTCAAGGGGTCAATTCTTTATTTTTTGTTAACTGTTATATGCTGCGCCACACGAGGCTGTTATACATATGTAATGGGCTAATTACTCGGCAACTTTAAAAATGGGGTGCAAAAAAAGGACCCTAGTAGGGTATTACAGGGGTGGGGGTATATTCAGGTGATAAGTGTAAGTTCTCTAATCTTCCTAAATCCAAATATGAAAAGGCTTTGATAAATCTTAAACTTTATAATAAAATAAAAACAATTCTAATAAACCCCAAGAACAATTCTCTTTATAACTAAAACACCTATATGAAGTCTTATATCATATTCATAGCGAAATTATATAGTATAGCAAACAAAAACAAACATGGTCTATACAAGATAAATAGAAATGAATTAAGCAAAGTATCATTAAACAACTTGTAAATAATTGTACAATATGTATAGTTAGAAAACTATCATTTTATTTTTTAGTTGCAAAACCTATAATCGTAAAAAATTTTTTATTAAAAGTTTAGATAAATTCTCTTTTTTTTTTTAAAAAAAAAAAATTAACTTTTTAATTCTTTTTTTTTTTTTTTAGATAGATTTAATCGATCTTAGCTTTGACTCGGACAAAAAATATAAATATGTATATCATATTAGAGATCACTTCACTAGGTTTTCTGGCAAGGGTGTTAATCTCAAAAAGAGTGATTGAAGTTGCATCTTTTCTGTTTAATCTTTTTTATTCAATTGGGTTACTACTAATCATATTATAGTCAGACAATGACAAGAAGTTTGTTTTACAAGTAATTAAAGAACTTATAATTTTATAGTCTTCTATTAAAGTTATAAATAGTAGATCTCACTATTTTCAGTCTCAAGGGTTGTTCAAATATGCAAATAGAGTTTTGAAACAAAATTAAAAAAATGAAAGAAATCTACTAATCAAAATAACTAGTTTTTTGATTTAAGATTTGTCATCATAGCTATGAACAATTCATGGTGTTGAGCATATAAAAGAATGCTTTATAAACTTGTATATAGAGATAAACCTTGGACAACAATACATTAGTTAGTGAATTATATGATAATAATATTTATGATAAGAAAGAGATTCCTATATAATTGATATTCAGACTGATAATATAATAAATTTAGATGATGATATAGATAGTATTTTATTATTATTTTTTTATTTATTTTATTTTAATTTATTTATTTTATATATTTACTTAATTTATTATATATTAGATCAAGGTTTAAAATCAGAATCAGAATCATTACTACAAGAACTATTATTGCAAGAACTATTATCTAGAGAGAAATCATCTTGGAAACAATCTTTTCAGAAACTATTATATCAAGAACTATTGTCTTGGAAACTATCATCTCGGGAACTATTATCTTAGAAAATATTGCCTCAAGAACTAATATTTCAGAAACTATCACCTCAAGAACTATCACCTCAGAAGCTATTGTCTTGGGAACCAATATTTTAGAAACTATCATCTTGAGAACTATTATCTTAGAAGCCATTGCCTCAAGAACTAATATTTCAGGAACTATCTCTTCAAGAACCAATGTCTTGAAAACTATTTCTTTAAGAACTGTTATCTCAATATAATTATATAAGTTTATTAATAGTTATGTTATAAGTGAAAACAAAATTTAAGTTAATTCTAAATTTTTAAAGTTAGAGTTAGAATTTTTAGTATAATTATTTTGTTCTAATTTAAGTTAATTCTGAACATATTATAATTCCATTCTCACTTATAACAGTTATAATATAAAGCCTTTAGAATAATAGCTAATGTTTATTTATACTAACTAACAATTTAGATACTGCATCCAAATTCTGCTCTTGCTAACATTACAAACCAGAGTTATAGTTTGTCATATGAAATTTTATGAAATTCTGCTCATCATGAACTTTAACTATATACTGACAAAATGACCAACCAAATATTAAAAAAGTGAAAATTAATTAATTTAAAGTTGGTGATTTCATTCAAGTAGATAGATCAGTTTGCAATTGATTGCTCTAGCCTTCCTTGTAAAATTCTAGAAAAAAACAAAAATCAACAATACAAACTAGGATGCAAATATAGTATACTTAATGTATATTATTTCTTTGATAAAATTAAAACACTAGGTACTGCTACTTGTTTTAAACTCAATGTGATACCATCTGAATAAATATCTCTTTGGGAGATGTCAAGACTGCAGAGTGTTGGATCATTGTCAAGTTCAATTTGTAACTGCAAGAGCTCATGTAATAGTAAAAGGTGTAATTGTAAAAAGGTAAATGGGAAGTGTTTAAGCAGATATCATAGTGGTCATTTTTGTTTAAACAAAGATTAGTAAAAAATGCATAAAGTAAAAAAATTAGCTTTTAATTTGCAGATGCTAGTAAATAAATGTTTAATCGCTTTATATATTAATAAAACAGCTTTAATTTGCAAATTAGGTATGCGTCAGATTACATCTGAGGCACCTCAAATGACCGATCGCACCTCACCTGACGATCTGCGTCTGAGGTGCCTCAGATGTAATCTGACGCAAGCGTTAGTCTGAGGCACAACATATATATATATTTATTTTATACTTAAATATCTATTAGGCCATGTAAAATTAATTACAGCTATTTTCATAATTTCTGGGACACCTGATAAAATTTGCCGAATGATTTTTCTGCCGACCCGGTTAAGTTATTGACTTCTAGAATAAAAGATTCAATAACAGATACGTATCAGATATACTGTACGTAATTTACAGCTATTATCATAATTCCTAAAACACCTGATAGAAATTGGCCGATTGATTTTTCGGCCAATTTGATTAAGTTAGTGATCTCTGCATAATAGATTCTATAAATTGATATGGTACGTATGTACGCACGTAAGTAGGAATTTAAAATCAGATGATTGATAGAAATATTATACCGATACAAATATCTCAAATCAAATATAGAAACAATATAGAAACATGGTGCTTTCAAAATATCTTCGCTGGCGAATAATTGAAAAATTTTTTTTAGAAAGCTTATCATTTCGAAAAATTGCAAACACTTAGATGTTAGTATGTCATTATAAGTCGAGTTTTTAAGCACCTTCGAAGATATGAATATATTGATAACTTATACGACGAATATTAATAAAATCAAGAATTTTTGAACGGAATTTTGAGTCATATTTTAAACCAGTCGACAAAATTCTTGACCATATCTTGTGTAATATGTTTATTATAACTGTCTATTTTATATCTGGAGCCTTTTTATATTTCTTGTCAATATTTATCCTTTTCATAAGCTTTTCTATAAGCTTTTCTATAAGCTTTTCTATAAGTTTTAACACAAACTAAACACACCAAACATTCAACCGAAAATTTAATAACATTGAACGTGTCACCATTTATAATGATAAAATTATCTGTAGATGTTTTTCATATCTGATATAGGATGAAAATTACTATAATTTTGCGTAAATTTGTATAAGTTACTGAAGTCAAAATTTTGTTAAATGAATAGCATTGGACAGAACTTTCGTAGAGCCGGCACATAAAGTTTAGTAATGGTGACATAACTTTTATATCTTTGCACTATTTAATGTAAATGTACATTTATTGAATCTATTACAGTACGTATGCCGAAATTACAAACTTAACCGGATCGGCCGAAAAATCATTTGGCTAATTTTTATCAGGTGTTTCAGGAATTATGATAATAGCTATAAAATTTTTGTAAATTTTGACCAGGCCAAGTTATGAAAACTGAATCATTAAGTTTGTATGGCCTAACAATATATTGTTTCTAAATTTATGGATAAGTATTTTTATATACCAATGTTCTGTCGTGGATAAGCATCACACCATCTATACCACTTTTTTAAACTTCAGATTAGCAAGAATAATTTGACTAAAGACTTTTTAAACTTCAGATTAGCAAGAATAATTTGACTAAAGACTTTTTAAACTTCAGATTAGCAAGAATAATTTGACTAAAGACTTTTTAAACTTCAGATTAGCAAGAATAATTCGACTAAAGACTTCATTGCGATTTCCGCTAATCTGACATTTAAAAAAGTGGTGTAGAGGGTGTGATACTTATTTACGATAGGATACGGTATTTGTTAAAATATATTCAAAAATTTTAATAGTATTACAATTAGAACTTTTTAATTAGTTTTTAAGTTTTTAATGCTATTCATTAAGAGTAAAACATATACTGTGTTTAAATTTAAATTTTGATTTTAAACTAAAAAAAATTACTAAACCTACACTAGTGTATAAACACAGGTATATATTAATTAATTGATTTGCAAATCTGTATAATATATAATTTTATAAAAAAAAAACTACTTAATATTAGGGTTAGGCTAGAGGTTAGGGTTAGAGAGTATTTTATACTAAAATTTTGTATAGATTATTTTTAATTAGAACTTCCAAAGTAGTTTATGACAAACCTGTGTGTACACACTAGTGTACAAATAGTAATCCTCATATAAAAATTTTAATTTTTAAACAAAACTATATACATAGTAATATTACAATACAAAAACTGGTTTAAATAAAATTACTAGTTGCTATATAACTTATAATTTAATTAGATTAATTAGCAGATAAATAATTAAAATTATAATTTTATACTTCAAATTAAAAAGTTGGTCTATTATATAAGTTTAAGATTTTAAATAACAAAAATTAATTATAACTAGGCTAGAATGGTAATTTTAAAAGTTTTTATAGTTAAAATTAAAGATTTAATTAGTTGGAAATTGAATAAACTAGCCAAGTGAGTTACTATTTCGATCAACAAAATCTGGAGGTGCAGACCATCTTTTTTTATAGAGTTGCTCTGATTGGATAAAATTTATAACCCCATTTCGAACTATGAATTTTTAACAAGTCATCTTTGATTAACATTAATCACTCGATTAAACGCAATGATTTGTGCAGTATCTCGATTACTAGCTAATTGCATTGAGGGTGTGGCTTGAGAACATCTTTGAACTATTAATTAAAATTATTAAAACTGACCTGTATATATATTAAATATATAAGTATGCATTTTTAAGATATACAGTCAGACCTTTTAAATAGATCGTGATGGGACTATATATAAAACTTTAATCAAACATACAAATTAACGAAACCTATGGTTTCGTCAGGCTTCATCAGTTTATGTTACTCAGTTAATTAGTGCATTCTACTGAGTAGTAAATTTATTTAATAGATTTACTCAGCTAGTCTACTGAACAAAGCAATGCACCAACTTCCCTAACAAAACATTCTAATATACTAAAACTTTGTTAACTTTAATACCTTTTTTTTTTTCTTTACTGCCTCCCTTTTTTTTACTACCTTCTTTTTTCTTACTGTCTTCCTCTTTCTCAATATCCAGTAAATCTGAAAGAAAAAGGTTATAAATGATTAAAATAATATGGGATTATTATTAAGATATATATAATTTACTGAGTTTACACACATTTTCATCAGTCGGCAAGCTTCAAGCAACCCAGTCAGATTTCTTAGCCAGTCTTTTAAAATAATCTTCGAAAAACCATAAAGTAATATATTTATCATAGTGTCCAAAATAAATACGCGACTGTAACAATCAAGAAAAGTATTGCTCCCCAATGATAATAATATAATCAAAACCATACCATTTAGTTTATTTTGCATAACTGGTAAGCTTTTCTTTTATGTAATTGATAATATTATCTAAAGGGTTTTGCTTTGAATGTCGAGGTTAAGAGCACTTTCACTTTGGATGCCGACATTAAAAAGAAGTAGTAACACAAGAACAATCTGATTCATTCAGATTTTCAACTATTATAAGTAGATTTTTGCTCAATGATTCAGTGAATTCATCACTAGCTGACACTTGATACAGAGAGGAATTATTTTTGTTTTTTTTGCTCAGCCTGATTGTTCGGGAGTACAAAACAACACGACGTTTTAGCTTTTTCTGTCCATGTAGAGCCTCTAGAGTACCAATTCGGAGCAGTTGTCCAAGGAAATTGCAATATATGAATTCTCTCTCGGTTTGGACATTACAAATAATGTTGATATCATCTTCGACCTCATCTCTACCACTATTTCGTTGTTTTTGTAAATCAGCACTATGTTGCTGCCTTCCTGTAATGAATTGATGCCCCGAAGAACAATTTCAGAATCTTCCCTTTCCGAACTGAAAAAATAAGGTTCACTGTGCTTGGGCGATTTAGTACATTCTCTTCCATTTTTATGATCCTGTTGCAAGAAGGTCCAATATTTTTCTTTAGAGGCCGATTTGTAGAATGTCTATAATAGGCATATTGCATCTCATACTGTCATCATTAAGATTGGACGACATTGAGGCACTATAGATAATGTAAAAACAAAAATCAAATTTGTGTAAGTTCGCAGTGATAAGGATGCCTTGATTTTGTATGATTAAAAATATATGAAATTTTCTAAATAATCTTCAATATACAGTCAGACCCCTCTAAATGCACCCTCCCTAAATGCAGTACCCCTCTAAATGCATGACATAAGCCGGGCCCATGGTGGGACTTATAGATAAATGCACGTTCTTTATTCTGTAAGTGCACGCTAGCTGTCTGGCCCACTTATAAAAACTGCCTCCATAAATGCATTTACGTGATTATTAGCCAATCAAATTCATTATTTCAAGGCCACTAAAACCACATTATCATGTGTTAAAAGTAACATTGCGATTTATTAGTGTTTTCTAATTGCAGCCCTCCCTAAATGCTTGCTTTAGATGTGGTCCTGATGACGCGCATTTAGGGAGGTCTAACTGTACTTTTATTAAATTTATCATTATTTTTCTAACATGCCAATTTGATTGGCTACAATATTATTATGTGATGAGTAATAAAAACCGAGTACCCGAACCTAGGTGCCGCACAAAAAATGCGCGGCAGATCCTCAATTTTGATTGGCTAACGGCCGAGGATCTTCAAAATCTTGGCCCGTATTACATAGTTGTTTACTAATTCTGGCCGGAATTAACTTTTTAATTTTTCATTACAAAAATAGAAAATTTTAAAAAATAAGTCCAGTTTATGGTAAATTTGGCCCAGGAACAATTTCACTTAATAGTCGGCTGCGATTTAATTAGTAAAATTACGAGTAATTCCGGCCTAATTTTTTGATAGTCGCTCTTAGCCAATCAAAACCGAGGATCTGCCGCACATTTTTTGTGCGGCACCTCAGCACCTAGGTTCAATCTGATATCGCGGTGTTGCGCGATACCCATGTGACTTGTAAGGCACGTGTTGATCGAATGTTGTGATCTAATTAATGCGTAATCCATATTATATACGATTTAATTAAAAGTTAAAATAATGATTGCATGAACGATGAGCAAAGTATGTAATAATCAGTAATGTAAATATGTATTAGTAAGGCCAGACTAATTCTTTGTTTAACATAACCTCCTCTCTCCTATTTTTTAAAATTTATATGAATCCAATAGTAATTAATAGTTATTTGCCCCTCAATTTTTTAATTTTATATAACTAACATGTAAAATCAACAAATCAAATTGCAGTATTAATATTTTGTGTTTTTTTCCCAATGCCCACCCCTTCTTACAGTTATTTTATGTTATGTTAAACAAAGAATCAAGTTGGTCTGACCTAATTAATATTTAAGGCATCGATCCTAAGGGGAAGTGCCTAAGTTCTTTGACCCGTAATTACCTTGAGACTCACTTAGTAAACAAACTGTTATCTGTAGTCATCGTATAAATTTGCCAAACGAGTAAAATCTGAAAGTAAATGTCAACAAATACACGGTATTCTGAGATACTCCGTGATGCTAGCGTTCAGAATTATGCTGCTAAAGATGCCAAATTATGCTTGCTAATTGCATTAAATTATGCTTTTTATGCTAATAACTTTATAAAAACAGCTGTTTTTTTTTTTTTTTAGATAATGTCACGGCCGATGCTGAAAGTGGCTAATGCTGAAATTTGAGGTATCATTTGAAAATATAAATCTTGCTAAAATTCACATACTGTATACTCTTTAATTATCAATTCTAACTCCAAACCCTAACCCAACTCTAAAAAAAAGCAAAAAAAAACTTCTAATTTCATATCAAAATAGGTTCAAATTTCAGCATTAGCCAACTTTAGCATCAGCCGTGACAATTAATAAATTTTACAAATATTTATAATTGTTGTATTTAATATTATATATATGCAAATACTAAATTTTATGCTAGCAAATATAAATTGTTAAATTCTGCTGCTAGCATAGTTATGCTAGCAAACTTGAATTTGCTAACTTATTGCTAGCAGCATAATCCTGGACATCCTAGCCAGTGTTGGAAATTCAAAAGACAATATGATGATTTTTTGTGAACATACTTTTTTTTATGTTCACATTAAAAAAAAATAATGATCTACAAATAAAATTTTATTAATTAGATAAAAATTATTTATGTTCACAAATGTGAACCTAAAATAAAAAAATTATGATTTTTAAAAATTTATGTTCACTGTGAACACCGTGAACATATTATTTCCAGCATTGATCCTAGCCCTAATACAGGGACCCTAGAAAATTGCGAAAAGATCAGAAAACAATAAATCGTAATTTTCATTGGGTATCACATTTAAACCAATTTTATGATTACAAAATTGCACAAAAAATCTGATTGGTTGGCTACTTTAATACGCCAATCATATTTATTTGTTTGCGTTTAATATTAATAGTTTTTTTTTTTTTTAACACTATTAGGAACAAATCACAACATTTACCGTACAGCACTGACTTAAGTACCCGGGGTATTTTACAAATAGACTATTTTGATGGGTATTTTACTCGAAGGGTACAGCTTGGGGTATCTTGGTTTAATAAAA